ACCTTTCTGATAGTGCAATCCGAAGGTGGGTATAGGATCTCAGTGTTGGCACTAGGTAGAACGAGCTCATTTGAAAGGGCTCATAAACACCTAAGTGACTGTTATGACCCCACCTTTCTGATGGTGCAATATGAAAGTGGGTATAGGATCTCAGTGGCGGTACTAGGTAGAACGATCGTGTTTGAACTCATTTGAAAGGGTTTATAAACACCTAGTTCAATGTGATTATATTACCTTCATGATGGTGGACAAAGAAGGTGGGGTAAAAGATCTCAGTTATGCCACTACGGGACACCATCGTGTTTAGGCTCATTTGAAAGGGCTCAAAAAGTAACTACACAAATAATATAAATATAATAAATAGTACAAACAGTATTATTACTCACTTTATAATGTTTTCAGGCAATTAAAAAAGCAGCAAAACTCCCAAGTACAAAATTAGAAATCGACCATATATTTTACAGGCAATAAAAAACAAGTTCTAGCAACAAACAGTGACCAAGTTACCTGTACTCAGTATTTAGAATTCAATGATTTTTGACTTATTTATCATACGAATACTACACATTTAATAAAACAAATTTTACGAATTTTATTTTGTTTAACTTATTTTAATTCGTGACGTTTGGGTGCTTCAACTTTATTTTAGTATGTAACACGTCGAGAGCTCAATTAGATAAACATAGAAAGCTATGCCATCCTAACTATTTCCGTTACTGAAAACCGATAAGATTTAATTTCTAGATTGATGGAGCCACAGCCGTGCACGTTTATTTGGCGTGACTCCTATAAATTAAAAACATCATTTCCTATCTATTAACTAGCTGTTCCCCGCGAATTCGCACGCGTGTAATTTATTACAATTGGATTTCATAAGTTTTAATTTTTTTTCCACGGAACCCTTATTCTTTTTCTAAGTTAAAAGTAGCCTAAGTTCCTCCATATAATATCAGTTATCTTCCATTGAAAGTCTCGTCAAAATCGGTTCAGCCGATTCGAAGATTAGCCGGAACAAACAGACAGACAGACATTTAAACATTTTGAACTTTTAAACTAGGCCATGTAAATTGTGATACACCTCGTGTATCAAATTATAACATTACTTGAGCAAGTTAAACTTCCACTGAATGCAAACTATTACTCATTCAGAATATCTCCAACATTTCTTTCGACATTCGTTATCATATTTGGGTACGTTAAGAAATAATGAAATTACTTGCGGGTACTTTCTATTATAAATTGAATAAAAACATTTATCTTTTGACTTAAAACATTTCACTTTAAACTTTTACTCTACACTTTAATGATTCGTCAATGTCGTAAATACGACAACAAACTTGATTTAAGAAATTGAACACAAAAACAAAACGCGAGGCGCATTATAGTATTTCACCAACGTAATAACCCTTACACTATTCAAAGGTTATAGCAGGTGGGCAGTAACAGGGACTTTATCCCACTTCTGATGTCGGAAAGGGTAACTGAGTATAGTACAAAGACTAATTTTGTAGTTAGGAATAATAATTAATTCGTTTACACGAATTAATTATCCAAAGAGTCGAGGATAAACTAGTATCGGAATACGACAAGCGTACCGTTCCACGTCAGAGCCAAGACTGTCTTAACGACGGCCGCTCCGTCCGTTTTATACAAGCAGGACGGACGGTAACGCAGGTGCAATGCCGCAGGTGTGCGGTATACGTGTCATTTACAAGAATTCTGTCTAGCTAGACCGACGCCACCGCACCTACAACGGTGCAGGTGCCGTCACGGCCATACTGACATGCGTGCGTCCTCGCACGCGCTCTATCACAATTTTAGTTATCTGTAGACAAAAAAACATCGTTCGACTATCCTGACATAACAGCGTCTGGTCCGGTCTATATTGACCCTTCAGACTTGGGTGACAGTCTGTCTTGTTCCGGCAGTAAGCCCTACAAAACTTTAATCATCTTTATGTTAGATCGGAATGATTAGTCTGTAGCTTTTTCTATTTTCTGTTTTTTTTCAAGTACCGTTTTCGCTAGTCCGGAATAACTATTCCCTATAGCCATATCATTGGACCGGCACAAAGCCCTGCAATGATAGTAAGAACTATTTTTTTCTTACGCTTTTTTTTTTCAAGTACTATTTATGCTAGTCCGGAATCACTATTCCCTTTAGCTATATCATTGGACCGGCAAACGCTCTGTAATGATAGTAAGAACCACATTTTTTTTCTTACTCTCTTTTTTTTTCAATTCAGTATAGAACAGTTACAGACCAACCATACCGCAAACATGTCCCCGTCACAATCACACAAAAGTGTATCGTGAGGGACGTAGTGACACACGATAACACCTAAGTATTGTTACGCGCCACTATTAATGTCTTGTACACGGCAACACTAGTTACACTAGCGCCCCCTAGTGTCGAGTAAATGAAAGTATTGCGCGCCACTATTAATGTCTTGTACATGGCAACACTAGTCACACTAGCGCCCTCTAGTGTCGAGTAGCAGAACTAGGAGAGTCGAGATCCTTCCAGAAATTTCGGGACCGATATGTACTCGAATATTCTAGATGTCGCTACAGTAGAAGGTTCTGGAAACTATCTGAGGCTCTATATAAGGCCGGTATAGACCACGACCGGGGCAGTATTGAATTGGCGATACAAGAGAATACTTCGAAGCGAAATAACGGCGAACTGTGTTTTATTATTAGTGTGATTTTAGATTGTAATTAGTGTTGTGTAATTAAAGTGTCAATTTTGGTAATTCAATCGGCAGTTTTTAATTGTCTCGAACTCCAAGCTCGTAACAATTGGTGTCAGAAGTGGGATCAAATATGCCGATTTTACCTAAAAACGACACGGAGGGTATCCGTACCCGAAGTCAACGCCAACAGGAGACGGACCAGAGACGATTTGGTAATGCAACGCCGCAACCGTCGGAGGGCCAGTTGCTAACCACGGAGGCTGGCCCGTCAGCAGCTCCTGCATCTGCAGCACCTGACTTAGGTGCTCTGATGATGATGCTGCAGGATCAGGCCCGCCGACAGGAGGAACAGGGCCGCCGACAGGAGGAACAGGCCCGCCGACAGGAGGAACAGACCCGTCGGCTGGAAGAGCAGCTGCAGCACGGTATGGAAGAACAGATGCTCCTCAGGAAGGACCTTCACGCTACCTTCGGGAAAGAGATAAAGGAGGTGAAGGATAGGGTTGCTCAACATGACAACCGCCTGTCGGAAGCTGAAACCCGAATCGACCAAGTGAACAATCGGGTTGACAACGTGATGGCTGATGTGAAGAAAACGCTGGACGACCTCAAACTTAGGGATGGAGTTACAGCTCCCGTGGTAGCTACAACACCTTCGCTACGTGGATTCAAAGTGCCACCGTTCGATGAGACTTCTTCCTGGTCGGCCTATAAAATCCAGTTCGAGGCTGTCATGAAAGCGAACGGCTGGAATAAAAGTCAGGCCATGACTGCTCTCACCCTAGGCCTGCGCGACCAGGCATTAACTGTTCTGGAAGCTCTCGGTAAGGAAGTGACTTACGAGCAGCTCCTTGAGGCATTGGAGGCGAGATATGGCGACGCTCACCTGGAACACGTCTTTCGTGCGCAGCTCAAAGATCGCGTGCAACGCAGTAACGAAAACCTGCAGCAGTGGGCCCTTGAGGTGGAGAAGCTGGTTCGAAAAGCGTACCAGTCTGTACCTGCGCTTATTGTAGGGAACCTGGTGCAGACATTCATCGACGGCATCCGCGACCTTGAAGTCAGAGCTGCTGTGAGGCTCGGGCACCACGAGACGCTTAAGGACGCCTTGACCCATGCACTGGAGGTGGAAGCCGTGCGGCAGGATCATCGTTCCCACCGCGTCAGGGAGGTTGCAGCAGCTAAAGTTCAGGACCGCAATAAAAGCTACAGCCCTAGGTGCTACGGCTGTGGAGAAAGGGGCCATCTTCGATCCAGCTGCCCTAAGCGAACTGTAAAAAGGGAAGGTGATCGATCTCGAGAGGGTAGTGTGGATAATAGCACCGCCCAGCAGCAGCAGGGAAACTGGCGGGTGCTGGCTGATGTTAAAAGAGCCCCAAGGATTTCGATCTCACAAACTCATGATGGGAACAGCCTAATCATCAAGGGCGAAGTCAACGGAACGCCATGTAAACTGACCATAGACACTGGAGCCTCTCGCACGGTTGTCAGTTCCCAACTTATAAGTCGGTTCCTTGGTGACTCCGCATACAACCGAGAACGCATTAATTTGGTGACAGCCACTGGTCAGCGCATACCCGTCCGTGGAGAGAAGGAGATGGAGTTGAAGCTAGGCAACATGATCTACCTGCATAATGTCATCGTGGCTGATATAATGGACGACTGCATCCTGGGCCTAGACTTTATGAGGAAGAATTGTTGTGAGATCGACGTTAAGCAAGGTGTTTTGAAATGTGGACAAGAAGAACTTTTCATGGAAGGGGCGTTACCAGGGAATGTGTACAGCCTTAAGAAGATTGTTCTTCCGCCGAGATCGGAAACGATTGTGCCGGTTAGTCTTCCTCGGAGTCCTGGGCAAGCTCATCGTTGTGTACTCGTGGAAAGGGTAGACAATGACCTTCCATGGAAAGTGGCTCGAACCTTGGTCAGAACCACCGACATATCAGGAGTACGTGTGTTGAACCTTTGTGATCAGGAACAGATTATAGAAAAAGGCACATTGGTTGGTACTAGAGAGGAAGTGGATTGGTTGCGTCGGTGCGAATATCTATCGACCGGGACCCCTAGCAAGGATGGACAAACGAGAGTGACCACACTTTTAGAAGACTGTCGCAGCGTTCTCTCCCCGAATGAAATGGTCAAGGCGAAGAAGTTGTTACTCAAGTACGCCAATGTTTTCTCGTCAAACGAAGCTGACATAGGAAAGACTGGCTTAGTTCAACACAAAATAAACACAGGACAAGAATTGCCTATTCGTCAGCGGCCAAGAAGATTGCCTGTAGCACGTGAAAAGGAAGTGGAAACCATGATTGAGGGAATGGTGAAGGATGGTGTTATTGAACCTTCATCTAGTCCATGGTGTTCACCTGTGGTGCTGGTAAAGAAGAAGGACGGCAGCATGCGGTTTTGTGTTGACTACCGCCGCCTGAACGACGTTACGAAGAAGGACAGCTATCCCTTGCCTAGAATTGATGACACGCTGGATATGCTCACAGGCGTAAAGTGGTTTAGTACGCTGGACCTGAAAAGTGGCTACTGGCAGGTTGAAATTGACCCTAAGGACAAGGAGAAAACTGCATTTTCCACAGGAAAGGGTCTGTGGCAATTTAAAGTCATGCCGTTTGGATTGTGCAATGCTCCAGCAACGTTTGAAAGGTTGATGGAGCTTGTACTTACCGGGCTAATTGGAGATGCCTGTCTCGTCTATTTGGATGACATCATCATCGTAGGCCGTACATTTGAGGAGCACCTTCAAAACCTGGAATGCGTGCTCATGAAGATCCAGAGTGCCAACCTCAAGTTGAGTCCAAAGAAGTGCTCACTATTCAAACGGCAAGTTAGTTTTTTGGGGTATGTAGTGTCGGAAGAAGGTATCCGCACGGATCCAGAGAAAATTGCTGCTGTCAAGGAGTGGCCGGTCCCAAAAGACAAGACACAGGTTAGAGCATTTTTGGGTTTGTGCTCTTATTATCGGCGATTTGTGAAGAACTTTGCAGATATAGCCAAACCTCTGCACAAGCTAACCGAGGAGAAGCGACAATTCTGCTGGGATGAAAGTTGCGATATTGCATTCCAGGAGCTCAAGAACCGCCTGTGCAAAACACCTATTTTGGGGTACCCTGATGCGGGCAAGGAATTCATAGTTGACACAGACGCAAGTGATATAGGACTTGGCGGTGTGTTGTCTCAACGGAATGGTGATCAAGAGATTGTGATAGCGTACTTCAGCAAGTCGTTGTCACAGCCGGAAAGGAACTATTGTGTCACAAGACGGGAATTGCTTGCTGTGGTAAAGTCCTTGCAGCATTTTAGCAAATATCTTCTAGGGCGGAAATTCCACTTACGAACTGACCATGCTGCACTGAAATGGCTATTGCAGTTCAAAAATCCGGAAGGACAAGTTGCGAGATGGATAGAACTACTGCAGGAATACGACTTTGTGATCGAACATCGCAGCGGGAAATCTCATGGCAATGCAGATGCATTGTCAAGAAGACCTTGTCCTGAAGATTGCAAGCATTGTACTAGGCAAGAGGGTAAGGAAGTGGTATCTGTGAGAATGCTCAGGACAGACCAGCTCAGCAATGAGTGGAAGGACAGCCTACAACATGCACAGCAGGAAGATTCGGACATTAAGCCGATTCTGGAATGGATAAAGGCCAGTGCTCCTAAGCCCAAGTGGAGCGACGTCTCAGCAATGAGTTCGACCACGAAAAGCTATTGGGCCCAATGGGACAGCTTGCTGATTCAGGATGGAGTCCTGTGCCGTAAATGGGAAAATGGTCGGGGAGACAGGTGTCATTTGCAAATGGTTGTCCCTAAGGCTAAAGTGCCGGATATTCTACAGCTGTACCATAGTGGTTGTTCAGGAGGCCACCTGGGAGTTAAACGAACTCTCCTGAAGATCCGAGAACGGTTTTACTGGGTGCACTGTCGTGACGATGTCGAGAACTGGTGCCGCAAATGTACAAGTTGTGCGGCTGTAAAGGGACCTCAAATTCGTAGTAGAGGCGCATTGAAATTGTACAATGTTGGTGCACCATGAGAGAGGATAGCCATTGACGTTGCGGGGCCGTTTCCAGAAACTGAAAGTGGTAACAAGTATTTCATGATAGTGATGGATTACTTCACTAAGTGGCCAGAAGTCTTCGCCATTCCAAATCAAGAAGCTTCAACAGTTGCAGATAAACTAGTTCATGAAGTCTTCTGTCGTTTTGGAGTACCTTTAGAGATTCACAGCGATCAAGGAAGGAATTTTGAGTCTCAAATATTCCAGGAAACTTGCCGAGTTATGGGTACTCAGAAAACACGAACAACTTCTTACCACCCACAATCTGATGGAATGGTAGAAAGATTTAATCAGACATTGGAGAGGTACCTAGCAAAAGTTGTGGAAAAACGGCAACGAGACTGGGACAGGCACATACAACCGTTTTTGTTGTCATATCGAAGCGCTGTTCACGAAAGTACATCAGTGACACCAGCTTTCGCAAACTTTGGGAGAGAATTGCGGCTGCCTGCAGACCTGATCACCGGAATACCACCTGATGCCCCACGCAGTATAACCGATTATGCAAATGACTTGCGGAACAAAATGAATGACATTTATGAGCACGTCAGACAGACGGGCCAGCAAACGTCTGAGAAGATGAAAACACGGTATGACCGCAAAATGAACAACAAGGGCTTTGATGAAGGTTCACTAGTGTGGTTACACAATCCAGTTCGCAGCAAAGGGAAATCTCCTAAGCTTCAAGCTAAATGGGACGGACCGTACCGGATTGTGACAAGGATCAATGATGTAACCTACCGGATACAGAAAGGTGCCAGAGGTACTCCTAAGATTGTCCATGTGGATCGACTGGCGCGTTATTATGGGGCCAATAATGCTCGGGACGAGCATGTCTTAGGAGGGGGCAGTGTTACGCGCCACTATTAATGTCTTGTACACGGCAACACTAGTTACACTAGCGCCCCCTAGTGTCGAGTAAATGAAAGTATTGCGCGCCACTATTAATGTCTTGTACATGGCAACACTAGTCACACTAGCGCCCTCTAGTGTCGAGTAGCAGAACTAGGAGAGTCGAGATCCTTCCAGAAATTTCGGGACCGATATGTACTCGAATATTCTAGATGTCGCTACAGTAGAAGGTTCTGGAAACTATCTGAGGCTCTATATAAGGCCGGTATAGACCACGACCGGGGCACTATTGAATTGGCGATACAAGAGAATACTTCGAAGCGAAATAACGGCGAACTGTGTTTTATTATTAGTGTGATTTTAGATTGTAATTAGTGTTGTGTAATTAAAGTGTCAATTTTGGTAATTCAATCGGCAGTTTTTAATTGTCTCGAACTCCAAGCTCGTAACAGTATGTAAACCAACAGTAACTCGACACATATCCCAGTGCAGCACCGACCAGCCTCCCTGCAACTTCATGTTCCTTTCCTGCACTGGAATAATTACTTCGCTGGAGTGTTGCAACGTCTCTAGTATTTTCTAGATGCACAGACACGGCTACCTCTGACTGTCGCACGTCTTCGTGCGGTTGACAGTGAACAGCATACGGTCTATCAGTTATCACCACTTGCTAACAGATATTAACTCTGGTTAAATATTACAACGGTCGACCATCCCAGACTTCATTTAAGTCTGGAACGCGCGGATATGGCTACCTTCAGGTAAACGCACTACAGCTTTTCGTTCTGCTGCGTCCGTGCCACATTCGCGGCAGCAAGCCGTCGCGCCGTACTAGCGCTAGCGAATCGTCGCACTGCTTTGCGAAAATTAAAAGAAATCGAGATAAATGTATTGCGAACCATGGAATTCCGAGCTTCCGAAATTCATCACATATTCTCTTTAAGAAACGGCAACTGCACGACATTTGAAAACATTGCAAAAAAAATGGAAACTATGTGTAGAGACAGATACCACAACATATTTCGAAACGAAGGAGGAAACTGCGCAAAATCTACGAAAGCCGTCCATTTACAGCGCCAAAGCACCATTTGTTCGGCGGCCACTTGAATTGCCCTGCCGTAAGATCAGCCGATAAGTAACCGACTGTAGCGGTGTAGTCTCAATCTAACCAGCGCTCGGCCGTACCTGACCATGTTCGATTAGCCATCACAACGTCTTCCTCATTGATCATTGTTGTAGAGACTTCTACGAATCCCTCGAAATCAAACCCCAATATTATCAACGACACAATATTCGGAGCAAACTGCAACACTGATCAACACATTAGAACACAAAAATGTTACTTATTATTTTCAATTCATAGCGTGTTAAAGTTAATCCTTTATTGTAGTACAACCCATAAAAGTTTTGAACTTCCAAATATAGCAAATGATAATCATGTTTCGCGTGAACTATCAAATTACAACAAAACGAGAGCAGCAGGAGCACCTGAGGGTTCACAGGAATCGTCGGGGTTGTAGTCATCATGATCTGCGTGAAAAACAAATTGTTAACTATAAGGACAACATACACAGTTGCCTGTTCTCTCATCTATCACACATACGAGGCCCTAAAACAGAAATACGTTCTCATATCGTGGACTATAATAAAGCACTTCGCTTTCACAAGTAAACATAGGTCTTCATACGAAGTATCTGACACATACTCTTACTTGAACTTGCGAGATCCCACGTTAACTACGTGAACCACATTAAAAACGTGAACCAGGACAGCGCCTAATACAAGTTCAGAAAATATTACCGTGCACACAGCATACGACTTCCGCGCACACAGTGTGACCCCCACGCATACAGAGTACACGACTTCCGAGGCATCGCCATGTACAGCATACGCGCGCTCCGGGATGGAGCCTGCGTATACGCGCATACGCATCTGCCAAAACCAGGCCATGTTACAGCTGGACCTGGCAGTCCGTTACGACCAGCAAGGCACACACTCACGCAATTGTAATCACATCACACGTGCTACTGTAACACATAAAAGAAAACATTAAAAATACTCAGTCGGAACTTGATTTCAAAAAATGCAGAACTACTCTTGGTACACCATTCGCCTTTCTAGGGCACCAAATACTGAGCTACGGCTACACGACAAGCTCTGGTATGGTCCGATCCTCATGTAAACTTAAATACTCTCTTCAATGTCAGAACTAATTGGCTCTACTTCACTTTCATCAGTTATACTTCGGTTTTCCGGCATTTTTCGCAACCAATTAAAAATGTAAACACTCATTCTTACAAAATAGTTTCTCAGCCTAGGAAAAATTTACTTTCCTCATGTATCTAATGGTGATCAGTAGCAGGGACAAATAATAAATTCGCGGCGTCATAAGCCGACAGCATACTCAAAAGCGAGCGCTACAGCTCCACGCTTTCCATGAAACCATTCCAAATTTGTCGACTACGTAACGCTCGGAGTAAACTGTAACAGTTATCATCACATTAGATCACAAAAATACTACTTAGTGTTTTTAAGTCATAGCACGTTAAAGTAATCATGTTCTTTTTTTCGGTACATCGTTTAAACATTTTGAACTTTTAAACTAGGCCATGTAAATTGTGATACACCTCGTGTATCAAATTATAACATTACTTGAGCAAGTTAAACTTCCACTGAATGCAAACTATTACTCATTCAGAATATCTCCAATTTTCTTTCGACATTCGTTATCATATTTGGGTACGTTAAGAAATAATGAAATTACTTGCGGGTACTTTCTATTATAAATTGAATAAAAACATTTATCTTTTGACTTAAAACATTTCACTTTAAACTTTTACTCTACACTTTAATGATTCGTCAATGTCGTAAATACGACAACAAACTTGATTTAAGAAATTGAACACAAAAACAAAACGCGAGGCGCATTATAGTATTTCACCAACGTAATAACCCTTACACTATTCAAAGGTTATAGCAGGTGGGCAGTAACAGGGACTTTATCCCACTTCTGATGTCGGAAAGGGTAACTGAGTATAGTACAAAGACTAATTTTGTAGTTAGGAATAATAATTAATTCGTTTACACGAATTAATTATCCAAAGAGTCGAGGATAAACTAGTATCGGAATACGACAAGCGTACCGTTCCACGTCAGAGCCAAGACTGTCTTAACGACGGCCGCTCCGTCCGTTTTATACAAGCAGGACGGACGGTAACGCAGGTGCAATGCCGCAGGTGTGCGGTACACGTGTCATTTACAAGAATTCTGTCTAGCTAGACCGACGCCACCGCACCTACAACGCCACCGCACCTACAACGGTGCAGGTGCCGTCATATATATATATATATATATATATATATATATATGATATTTTATAGGAGTCACGCAAACCAAACGCACACGGCCACGCTCCACGTTTGAACTAGGACTGTTGATAAAATATCGATATATCGAAAAATCCATTTTATTATTTAGAAATATCGATATTTATTTTTAATATTTTTGGACAACATATATTGAAATATAAGTTTGATATTGAAATATAAATATACGACAGTCGATATATTTTTATAATTATTTATTCTTTTATTTTTTCACGTAAATCATTTAATCTACAACACCGTCGTAAACTTAAATCCTAATCCTTGATGGACCCAATCTACTATACTTTATTTACACTATATTATTCTTTTCATTTTTCCCCAGTTTATTTATTTGCTTATTATTTTTTAAAAAATGTGATTTTGTATAGTATATCTCTGTGATATTAAAATCACTATAATCTATGAAACTTAGTACTACTTTACTTACTGTGAGTTTGGCAGGAGCTTGACTATCGACGGACCTGTTTTATCATTTAAATAATCGTTTGAAGTAGATTTCAGATGTGATTATGTGTATTAAGTGTCTGCACATGTGAGCTATTAGAGAAAACGACGAAATAAGTGCTTCAATGTGTTATGATTTACTTCCGTGCTATCAGAAATAGCTGTTAAATGCTACGGATACAGCTGAAGATATCAAGCTTCAGCTGTATCCGTAGCATCTGAACGAGTTACTTCTACAATCAATCTTTTAGTGCCCAATAATCGCAGTATTAAAACAGCTGAACATATAAAACAACAAGTATTTTTGAAAACTCTTATTGAAAAATATTGGTACACATAATTGTCTTATTTAAATTAAACAATAATTAAAGTTAAACTTATAGCCTTATACGTCGCACTGCTGGGCACTCCTCATCTAGGTAGGCCTCTCCTAATTTCTGAGAGGGTTTTAGGGCAACGTCCGCCACGCTGCCTCAATGCGTGTTGACGAACTTCACGTTTTTTGAAATTTTTATTTTATTTCTCAGACATGCAGGTTCCATCACGATGTTTTCCTTCATCGTCGAGCACGTGGTAAATCAGCACTTAAAATTGCAATTAACAATTTCATTGGTGCCGGCGGGGATCAAACCCGGGTTGCTCGCGTACTGTGAAATTTACAGCGAGCGCTAACCATCTGAGCTACCACGGCTCATTAATAATTACTAAGAACTATAACCTAACATTTTCATACATTTATAATTTAATTTGTTTAATAAATATACTAAATTATAAACTGTGTAAATCATTTTTAAGCAATAAGCATCGATATATCGCTTATGTTTTCGATAAATAAAACTCCGATATTGATATATTTATAATTATCGATATATTGAAAATCGATATTTTAAAAATATCAACAGCCCTAGTTTGAACTTATCAGTTGGAATGATCAGTTGAACTGATCGTGTGTGTCGAATTTGTTTTGGATTAAATCCGTTTGAAATGATCAGTTGAACTGATGTCAGTTTAACTGACCGTGTGTGGGGACCATTAGTCTAGTCAGGCATGTCCCAGTCCGCTCTTTATGCATGTAAATATAAAATATATCTACGCTGCGCAGCCGTCTATGAGAGACTAATTCCGTGAGGTTGTCTTGCACGCGCTCGAGCTGACGCGCGCCTTACGTTACGTTAACAAAAAAGTATTTGTTAAAAGTATTTTTTATTCAAGTGTGGCCTCTCAAAAAGCGAGAAGGTACTGCATAGCATCCGGGTGCTTAAATAACAATAGGAATGTCGACTTTTCATTTTTTACTGTTCCTAAGGATACAGAACTCCTAATATTGGGTTCCCAGTTGGGTCTTTCTATCGCTATCACCCACTTACTTACTTCTGGGTTTCTTCCTGGATGTTCGTAAGGATACCGAAAAGTAAGATATTATTGTTTATATGTAGATCTAGATAATTAGGTACCTAGTTACTGACGGCATAGTTATAGTTTTATTATTTTAAAAGTTTTATTAAAGAAAAACTGTACAAAAATGGTTATTATAATATCAAGGAATACATGAATGAAAATAACCCCTGGGAATAAGGTGATCGCCACCATGCTGGTTCTATGAAAATTCATTTAAAATTGTATAAACAAAATTATTGTTAACTGAAATTATGTTTAAAAAAAGTCCCGCTGGGTTTCTTGCTGGTTTTTCCCGGGAGAGAGGTATTTTCCGAACCAGTGGCAAATAAAAAATGACTTTCAATAAGTATTATGTATGTAATAATCAATATTGAATAAAAATCATTCTATTCTATTCTATTCTATGGTTTGGTAACGCATAAAATATGAACAAACAAAAATTAAGTTTTATATATTAGATCAATTATAATCATTGGCGACCAAACTTTATCACGGTACCTTAATATAATTAGCCTAATAGCAATTATTTATTCTGAATAAATAATAGTACATGAACAGAAGGATCACTCTCTGGAGGTAATCTCTAGCAAAGATAATTTAAATAGCTTAGAATGCAACTTACCAATACATAATTATGCAATTTTACAAAATAACAATAATAAAAACTGTATCAACCTGGTGCATCAAAATATACAAGGTATGTTAGGCAAAGAATTAGAAATTGAATTATTTTTAAATAGTAACAGTATAAATATTTTATGTATTACAGAACATTGGTTGAAAGAATACAACTCCATATTTAATTTCAGTAATCACCAGGTGGTCAGTTCGTTCAATAGAGATACTAAATTACGTGGTATTAGCTAATAAGTCCTTATCATGTAAAGAACGTAAAGACATTGTGAGCCTCTCTGTTGAGCGTACTGTAGAAATGGCATGTGTTGAGCTTGAGCACCTTATTGTTGTCAGTGTTTACAGACCCCCATGTTCAAGTTATGATACTTTTGAAAAAATTATGGAAGAAGTTTTAGTTAAGCTTAATAAACAGAATAAATCTCTTGTAGTGTGTGGAGACTTTAATATCAATCTCCTGGAAACTTCTTCCATCAGTATTAAATTCTGTTCTTTGTTCAAATCCTATAATCTTAATAATTTATTCTTTGAAGCTACACGTATTGCAGGGTGTAGTGCAACTTGTATTGATAATATTTTTACAGGTGTTGTACCAATCAACAAATCAATAATTCAAAAACTTAGTTCAGATCACCGTGGACAACTGGTTTCGTTACCTTATATGCACAAAAAACAGGTAAATGAGAAAATTGTGTTTGTTCCTATTAATGCAAAACGCCTGGAGAGATTTAGAAGTAATATGTTAAAAATCCTTCTATCCCTTTCTTATAAGAACAATGCAGACTATTTATATATTAAAAAATAGACCAAAACAAAATATCTCCGTTTATAGCAATCTTAAATACCACAACTACTGATCACTACAGCATATTTATGAAAATTAGTAAAGTAAAACTTAAAACACATTGTTCTAAAAATGTAGAATTTATTGACTATAACGATGCTCTCACTACACTTATACAGAAAAATATCACAAGTTTGTTATTTTGTGAGGATCCTGATACATTGATCAAAACATTAATAAAATGGCTGTCTGAATCTCTAGAAGAACATAAAAGTTTAAAAATTCTTCCCAAATCCCAACGCACTATTAAGCCCTGGGTTACCTTAGGCATTTTGCGATGCATTAGGAATAGGTACAAAATGCAATTAAAACTACGTTCTGAACCACACAACGAAATTTTAAAAATCACTTACACAAGATATCGAAACCATTGTAATAATCTATTAAAAAAATTAAAACGAAAATACGAAAAACTACAATTAGCTAAAGTAACGAAAAATACAAAGTTATTATGGAAAACAATTAAAACTATAACTAATACAAATTCTGACAAAACATCAAACAATAATTTATTAAATGCTAAATCTACTCCGGAGGACTCTGTGAATCACGTAAATGATTTTTTTGCTAATATTGGACGAAAGTTGGCTGAGGACATACGAATCAGTAATTCCGATCTCCAAAACGAATATGCATTGCCTAGACTTGCATCTCAACCTAGATCTTTAGTTCTATTGGATACTGATCCTGTGGAAGTAGATGAAATTATAACTAACCTCAGGCCCAACAGCGCTCCTGGCTGGGACAATATTTCTATTCAATTTATCAAACTAGCTGTAAGGTATTTGTTAATTATTGTAACGTCACCGCTCAGTCCGCCATTAAAGCCGTTACGAGAAAGACATCTTTCATTCAATCCCAAGATATTGCATTGGCGACGAGAGAAAAAAAAAAAAGAAAAATAAATATATATCGTAAAAGTTCGCGTGTGTATAAGCTAACCGGCCTAAACCATGTCGATTGGTAAAATATCGGAATTTAAAGTGGCCACAGACAATTGGAAATGTGGAAAGGCTCGAACAATTCTTTGTTGTGAACAAAATATCAAGTGAGCTACATGTACCTACATTAATCACGGTTATGGGGGCGGAGAGTTATGAACTACTCGTGAGTTTGTGTACCCCCGGAAAAACCCACATCAAAAACGTTTTTAGAGCTAACAAAAATTTTGGAAAATTACCTTCAACCAAAACCCAGCGAGCTGGCTGAAAGATTTAAATTCCGACAAAGAAAACAAAGGGACGGTGAAAGTATATCAGAATATGTAACGGACCTAAAGAAAATGTCGAAAACTTGCGAGTTTGGTAGCTGGTTGCAAGAAAGTTTGCGCGATCAGTTCGTATGCGGTATCAGTAGTGAAACAATTCGGCAGAGATTATTTGCCGAAAGCAAACTAGACTTTGGCAAGGCTTATCAATTAGCCGTGAGTATGGAGGCGGCGGAGAAGGATGCAGCCAGCGTCCATGTGCATCCGAAAATATCTGGAGACTCGAGCGCATCCACAAACTGCTACGCGATGGTCAGTACAAGACGGACCGGGCGCGCGATCGGTTGTGACGGCGAGCGGCGCGCGGGCAGTAAGGGCGAGGTCAGGATGCGTGGCAGAGCATCCAGGATAGCAGCAGCAACGCCCACCGGGCCGAGGGTATCAACATCGGTGCTGGATGATCGACGACGACACCAGCGCGAGTGTCGCGCGTGCGGTAATGTACACGATGTAGTGACCTGCAAGTTTGCTCGCTACGTGTGTCGAGTGTGCAATAAACAAGGGCATTTACAAAGGATGTGTCCTTATCTAGCAGGACAACACAGCCTCGACGTGGTGCAGAGTGAGACTGACAGTTTATTAAACAGTGAAGGAAGTGACGAGGTAATGGTTTGCATTAATCAATTAAGCGTTAGTCATTACAAACCATTGTTTATATCATTAACAGTACACGGTAGGGATGTTCAAATGGAATGTGATACAGGCAGTGCCGTTTCATGTATTAGCTACGAGTTATATAAACAACAATTCAGTAACCTAAAACTGAATATGTGTCCTTTGTTGCTAAGGTACTATACGGGTGAACAAGTGAAACCTGTAGGTGTGATAAGGCCTTTAGTAAAGTACAAAGATAAAGAAAAGCATCTAGATTTATATGTTATTAAAAATGGTAAAAGTATATTGTTAGGCAGACAATGGTTGGCAGAACTCAATATACAGTTACCCCCATTTGGAAGCTTAAACTGTTTATCGAATGATGTTTTTAACTTAAACGATTTCAATTCCAGATATTGTAAGGTGTTCGCGGACGGCCTGGGACGGTTCACTGGGCCGCCGGTGAGCATCCGTGTGCGGGAGGGAGCGCAGCCCGTGTTCATGCGAGCGCGTCCGCTGGCTTATGCGTTGCGTGCACCCGTGGAGCGCGCACTCGAGCAGCTGGTGGCGGACGGTATTCTCACACCCGTCGACCGCTCCGACTGGGCGACTCCCATTGTGCCCGTAGTGAAAAAAGACGGTAACATTAGGATTTGCGCCGATTATAAGTTAACTTTAAATAAAGTTATAGAAGTCGACCGTTATCCTTTGCCTAGAGTAGAAGACTTACTGGTACGTTTACAAGGGGGGCAGAGGTTCAGTAAAATTGACCTTTCACAAGCTTACGCACAATTTGTACTTGACGAATCTGCCAAATATACGGTGATCAACACACATAAAGGTTTGTTTAGGTATAATCGCTTAGTATACGGCTTATCATCAAGCCCTGGCATTTTTCAAAAACATTTAGAGCAATTATTTAATCTACCGTATGTAGGCGTATTTTTGGACGATATAATTATTACAGGGCGCAACACAGAGGAGCATATTAGTAATTTACATAAAGTATTTGACCGTTTGCAGTCGTACGGACTTCGAGTTAAAAAGGAAAAGTGTGTATTTTTTGCTGAATCAGTCAATTACTTAGGTTATGTAATTAGTAAGGATGGTATTCACACTTGTCCGGATAAGATTAAGGCAATAGTAGACACTCCCGTTCCTACGAACGTGTCTGAGTTAAGGGCCTATATAGGAATGATAATGTATTATGCAAAATTCGTAAAAAATATCAGCACTATTCTCGCACCCTTATATAATTTATTGCGTACGGGAATAAAATTTGATTGGTGTGACGATTGTCAAAGAGCCTTTAAAAAGGTAAAAGAACTATTGAGTTCTAGTAAAATTCTAATGCATTACTCTAGCGATTTGCCTATTGTGCTGACGTGTGATGCGAGTAGCGTGGGTGTAGGTGCAGTGATCTCGCACCTGACGCCAGAGGGCGAGCGGCCGGTGGCGTATGCGTCGCGCTCGCTCACGGCTGCAGAGCGAGCCTACTCGCAGATCGATCGGGAGGCGCTCGCTATTGTGTTCGGTGTAAGAAAATATCATCAGTATCTTTATGGGCGAAAATTCATATTGCGTACGGACCATAAACCGTTAACACACATATTCGGTAAAAAAACGGGAATACCGGTTATGGCCGCTTCACGTATCCAACGTTGGGCCGTACTTTTATCTGGTTACGACTACAATATCGAATACGTAACGTCTAATAAAAATTGCGCCGATGGTTTATCAAGATTACCAATTTCTTCTAATAATAAAAAAACGATAAATAGAGAAATTACTTATATTAACTTCGTTGAAAATTTTTTACCGGTTACTAATGAGGATGTTACGAAGGCGACTTCAAAGGATATTATTCTTAGTAGAATTTTCGCCTATTTCAAATCGGGTTGGCCGACAGTTTGCCCTGGTGAAGAGGTTAAACCTTATTTTGTTAGGCGCAATGAACTATATTTAGATAACGGGTCGATTATGTGGGGGTATAGAATGGTAATACCTTCATATTTACGTCCAATTATTTTAAAACAACTACACAGCAGCCACATGGGTATTGTGAAAACTAAGGGGCTGGCACGGAGTTATGTGTGGTGGCCGAACATCGATGCGGATGTGGAAGCGCTATGCCGAAGCTGCGAGACCTGCGCCTCTGAGGCGGACGCCCCGCCGCGCGCGCCTCCTAACCCCTGGTCCTACTTGCCTCCCTGGTCTAGAGTTCACATAGACTTCCTAGGACCGTATAAAGGTAAAACTTATTTAGTTTTAATAGATTCGAGCTCGAAATGGCTTGAAATTATTGAAGTAGCGCGAACGAATGCGACTTCCATTGTTAAGGTGCTGAGGTCAATATTTGCAAGATTCGGTTTGCCCTTAGAACTAGTGTCTGACCAGGGACCGCCTTTCACAAGTATTGAATTTAAAAGTTTTTTGAAAAATAATGGCATTCAGCAAAGGTTTTCACCGGCGTACCACCCTGCATCTAATGGGGCAGCGGAAAATGCTGTTAAGCTGTGTAAGAGGGCAATTAAAAAGGCTTATAGGGATGACGTAGATATTGATACCGCCCTACAAACCTTTTTACTAAGCTATTGCAACAGTAAGCAAAGCACCACGGGTGAGAGCCCAGCGATGCTGCTGCAGCGACGTTCCTTGCGTTCACGGTTGGATTTACTTCGCGGTGAGTACGTGGTGCAAGCGCGTGTGCTCGATGCTCAGCAGCGTCAAGTCGAATATGCGGGTGGTGTTCCGCGTAATTTCTCTTTGGGAGACACCGTCTGGAGTAGGGACTACGGCACCCGGGATAAATGGGTCAAGGGCACGGTAGCCCAGAAAGAAGGTTCTGGAAGATACGTTCTCGACAATGGTGACGGTCGACTTATTAAAAGACATATTGATCAAATAAGACGTAGGTCGTGCTTATCCGATGTTACCTGTCCAGATATCACTAATGAGGTCGATGAAAAGGATGAGGATGAGTTTGCAGATGCGTCTTCAGAGTTGCAAACGGAGGTGGCGGTTTCGGCTGGAAAAGATGACGTGGATACCGAGCACGTGGCAGATACGCAATGTCCCAGCGAGACTGTACCAGGCCCCGCCACTCCTCCACAACCACCGCCACCGTCGCGGCCAGTGACCCGTTCCAGGCGAATCCGAAAACCCGTAATTAAATTCCAATGTTAGATTAATGGTATACTTAGTTAAATTATAAGTTTAAAACTAGTTATTAAGTTCATTGCTATATAATTATGTAGATATTTAAGGCTGGAGGTGTAAGGTATTTGTTAATTATTGTAACGTCACCGCTCAGTCCGCCATTAAAGCCGTTACGAGAAAGACATCTTTCATTCAATCCCAAGATATTGCACTAGCTAGAGCACACGTAGTTTCCGTAATTAGCCATTTAGCCAATCTTTGCTTTCATAAAGGCGTATTCCCAACACCTCTCAAAAAATCTATAGTTACGCCGGGAATAAAGATGACGTCAGCAATTACAGGCCTATTTCTGTATTACCCGCCATCTCAAAAATCATAGAAAAACTGATAAACCTTCGTCTAATAAACTACTTAGAGAAATACAACATTCTTTCAGAAACTCAATTCGACTTTAGACGCGCAAAATCAACAGAGGATGCAGTCTTAGCTTTAACCTCCTTTATCATTAAGGAATTAGACCAAGGACAAAAATGTCTCACTGTTTTTCTTGACCTCAGAAAGGCATTTGATACTGTTAACTTCCCCATCCTTCTGCGTAAACTCGAAGCAACTGGCATAAGAGGGGTCCAATTAAAATTATTTGAAGACTACTTGCGAAATCGGAAGCAACAAGTGAAGATTGGGGACCATATAAGTGGAGAAGCTGAGGTTCTTTTCGGTGTTCCTCAGGGGAGTGTACTGGGCCCCACCTTGTTTCTCATTTACATAAACGATCTCACGAAGATGAACTTAGAAAATGGTCGGGTATTTTCCTACGCTGACGACACTGCATTGGTCTTCACAGGTTCAACTTGGGAATCAGTTCTTAGGAGCGCCGAACTTGGTCTTAGATCGGTTAATAATTGGCTACAGCATAACCTCCTCACTCTTAATGAATCTAAGACAAAATATATATGTTTTACGATCACCAATAGAACACAACCTGCTAGCAACATTGCTCTAAGAATTCATCAGTGTAGTTATAAAGATACTGCAAACTGTTCTTGTGCGGTGCTTGAAAGAGTCCAATCTATTAAGTACCTAGGTGTTGTTTTGGACCAGCGACTAAGCTGGCATTCTCACATTGACTACACCAGCAACAGAGTAAGAAAATTAATATGGATATTTAAAAAACTTAGACATGCAACAACAAAAAAATTGATCACTCAAATTTATATCACTCTGGCACAATCTATAATAGGCTACTGCATCCCCGTCTGGGGAGGTGCAACAAAAACAAAATTTTTGGAAATTGAAAGAAGTCGGTCTGAATTACTTCTACATAAGAGAAGAAAACATAGAGTTGCAATAGCCAATATTGTAAAAACTAAATTCGCCAAACGTCAATACTCTGCATATTCTGTATTCATTTATAATAAGTTAAATAGACAATTTGGTATTTTTCAATTAAAATCCTCCGTAATAAAGGAAACTGTAAGTAAATGGCTTTTAGAAATGACGAATCATGATATAGAATTAATGCTTCAAGAAAGTAACTGAATTAAAAATACACTCACTCACCCACACACTCACACACACCCACACACACACTCTCACACACACACACACCCACTTACACACACACACACACACACACACACACACACACAAACTCCGCATGTTTGCACACACTAATACTATTAAGACTATTGTTTTTCTTTTATTATTATTATATATTTTTTTCAAATTTTAAAACTATTAAACTTAGTTATGGAAGAGCGGGGCCTCCTGGCACAAGTATATATAATACTTAAAAGGTTTGGCCCCAACCTTTGATTGTAATAAAACAACTGTCATTGCTATTGAAATAAACATTTTTGATTTTTTTTTTTGATTTTTTGATATAGAGAATTATTTACCTTTATAAACAATGAATTTAATAAAACATTCACTTCTAAAACATTCTCCAGAAACAGTCGCAAGGCATTTAATGAGTGGGCGACAGTAGGAATTCATAAAAGCAGACGAAGGTTATATGACCTTTACCATGAAAGATCGTATAATCTTTCCGATGCTTTTAAAGAATATGTAAAAAATTATTCTAAAATGTTTAAAAGAGTTTGCTCCACAGCCAAATCATTACATATTAGTAACAAAATTAAGACAGCTAAGAATAAAATTAAAATGACGTGGAGTATAATTAACAGCGAAACCGGTAAAGAGAAACCTCTATTGAATTGAATTGACTAAATCAAATCAAGAAGTTGCAGCGGTGTTTGAGAAATATTTCACTGATGTTCCTATCTTGACAACAGAGTCATTGAATGCTTCTCCAACTGTCGCCGAATCATTACTTAAACAGAATGTTAATACCTGTTTAAAAGAATTTAGATTTGAAAAAGTATTACCGCATAATATTGTAAAATACTTCAAAACGATTGATGTAAAGAAAACCGCAGATTTGTGGGGGATTTCCGTTATATATTTCTGTACTACCAACTCTCAGTAAAAATTTTTAAAAAATAATTTTGGATCTTTTTTTTTAATACAAATAAATTACTTCATAAAAAATCAATTTGGTTTTACAAGGGGTCGCTCGACGTCTGACGCCGGTGTTGAGCTTATGAAATATATTTTTAATGCCTGGGAGAATTCACAAGATGCCTTAGGTATTTTCTGTGACCTTTCCAAGGCTTTCGATTGTGTTCATCATGATACATTAATCAGGAAACTACAACATTACGGTGTAAAAAATTTGGCGCTTAAACTTATTACTTCATATTTAAGTAACAGAACTCAAAAAGTCGTCATTAATGGTAAATGTTCCTCCGGATCGGTAGTATCAATGGGCGTTCCTCGGGGCTCGATTCTAGGCCCATTCCTGTTCTTAATCTATATTAATGACTTACCTTATCTTGTAGGGGACAATCACGATATAGTATTATTTGCTGACGATACCTCTTTAATTTTCAAACTGAAACGGCAGTCAATTAAATATGACGATGTAAATAATGCTCTATCGAAACTAGTACATTGGTTTAACGCCAACAATTTGCTCTTAAACGGCAATAAGACAAAATGTATTAAATTTACAATACCTAATGTAAAACATTCGAAAACCAATGTGCTCTTAAATGGGGAGGAGTTGAGTCTTGTGGATACCACTGTTTTTCTCGGTATTACTATTGACGCGAAACTTCAATGGGGCCCCCATATATCTAAATTAGCAAGCAGACTTAGTTCTGCAGCATATGCTGTAAGAAAGATTAGAAGTCTCACAGATGTTGAGACAGCTAGGTTAGTGTATTTTAGTTACTTTCATAGCGTAATGTCTTATGGAATTTTGCTATGGGGTAATGCGACTGATATTGAAGCTATATTTGTTTTGCAAAAGAGAGCCGTACGGGCGATTTATAATCTAAATTGTAAAGAGTCCCTCAGAGAAAAATTTAAAGAAATAAACATATTAACTTTGGCATCGCAATATATTTATGAAAATGTAATGTATGTACATAAAAACATAAATAGCTTTAATAAGAATAAGGATGTTCATACCTTAAACACTAGGAACAAACATAAGGTTGTAATGCCACTTACAAGACTCCACAGAATTAGTAATTCATTTATGGGGCAATGTATACGCTTTTACAACAGAATCCCAGAACATGTTCAAAGTTTGTCAATAAACAAGTTTAAAAGTTTTATTAAAGAAAAACTGTACAAAAATGGTTATTATAATATCAAGGAATACATGAATGAAAATAACCCCTGGGAATAAGGTGATCGCCACCATGCTGGTTCTATGAAAATTAATTTAAAATTGTATAATCAAAATTATTGTTAAGTGAAATTATGTTTAAAAAAAAAGTCCCGCTGGGTTTCTTGCTGGTTCTTCCCAGGACAGAGGTATTTTCCGAACCAGTGGTAAATAAAATAATGACTTTCAATAAGTATTATGTAATAATCCATATTGAATAAAAATCATTCTATTCTATTCTACTACTACTACTACTTAAATGTCTTTGATACCTAACGATTATCACCAGCGCGGGTATTAAACCAAAATGCACCTTACGTCCGTCTCCAGACTCTCGCCTGTATCACATAACTCATTACGCGCCCTTATTAAAGATGCACCTACTGCAGGGTTAGGCTTAGTGTAGTGATAAAACAATTTGAATCCTTTGATATTAGTTGGTAACACCGAATGTACATTAATTGTTCAATGTGAGGAAGGTTAATATGCAACATCGAGAAAAATTAAGATTATAACAACGTGAAAATCTTTGAAACTCAGATAATTTACCTACTAACCATTCTAACCGACTTCAAAACATGTGGAGCTACGCAATTCGACTATATTTTTTATATGTTACCTCAAAACTTTTTCCTAAGTAAACCGATTTTGATGATTATTTTATCTTTTGAAAGCTGGTGCTTCTAATATAGTCTCATATTTTGATCAAGATTTGACTAGTAGTTTTGGAGTTATCCTTAATAATGCTTATTAATATTGAAGTCGGTCGTACAATTTCTTTTTAATTTCATTACTTGTCTCTCTTCCTGTCTTTTTAAAAAACGTTACCTTCAACTAGGATTTTCTCCTGTATCGCGTGGGCAGTTTAAATACATAGATTTCACAAGGAAATACATCCAGACCCAGCACAATTATTTGTAGCCCATATAAATAATTGTTCCGTGTGGGATTCGAACCCGCGGCCCTTAGCGTTGCAACTCATTGCAAAGCCACTGCACGACGGCGCGGTCACTTGTCTGTTTCACATTTTTTGCTATTTAAAAACATGTGACACGCGACGGCATTATTAATGAGAGTGGCAATGAGAAATGCTGCTATTTTCAATCTCTTTCTTTTATCGACCAAGTGTTAAACTAATATCCAGTATATTCTGATCTTGCATTAGTAGGCAGGTACTAGGTGGTCTACTTACACGGAATGTTTTTAGGTCATTGGTATTATACGCGAAAAAATCGAAAACTCTTAAGTTGTGGTCGGGGGAACATATAATCAAACTGTAACTATGCCGTCA